GAGGGCTGTGTATACACTTTCCATCATAATTAATTTAATTATCAATGCTTCTTTGTTAAATCTTGAGATATGATTCTACTTCAATGTAAAAATTCGTTAGACAAAAAACTTGAAGTAGCGAATCTTAAAATATGTATTTGACATCTGTACGTCACAATCGATGTACTCGAAGTGTAACATAAGAGAAAAATTTGACGCGTATATCAAATATAATAATAACGTTATTAAATTATTATAATAATAGTTCTCAAATTGTACAATATTATTACTTGATTTATTTCATTGTCACAACAATTACGTGTACACATACGTATATTTGTGTAAATATTTTTCTCGATAAAAGCATATACGACGATAGCGATTCTTTTGTAGTTTTCTTTGATCATGGCAATCTTGTGTTGCTAAACGTGAAATTATGACTTCTCGGCAACGTAATAACGGAAAATACCGAGAACAGTTATAAGTATAAGTCACGCTAATGTTCAAGAAGTTATATCTGACTTATTCAGCAACTTTTACTAACCTTTACTACTTACGTTTATTAATTCCCTCGCTGCAGGCTTCATTATTCTTCAAGGTACGGCGTGCATACTTACAATTGCGATGTAGCAAATAACCTTGCACGTTGCGTTCTCACCGCGCCGCACAAACTGTGTGTCGGATAATGTGTTTTGCGAAATAAAAAGTTCAATTTTTTTTTACTCGCAAAAATTCTCCGCGTTCCCATTGTCTCGAGAAAACAAAATTCCGGTTTTACATCGAAGCGTAACAGATTCGATTAGATCTGATTGAGCTCTTTAATTTACTTGTGAGGAAGACATTAGAGGCGGAAGAATCAGTCGGAAATAAGTTTCACAGTTTCGTTATTGTCGGCGAGGAAGAAGAGCGAGAGAGGCTCACGATGTGTGTGTATATGTGTGTGTGTGTGTGTACGTACGTGTAAGATTCTATTTGCGGTAGGCGAACGGGTTAACGGATGAGATGATCGCAAGGTGTCTCTGTGGTTAAAACTCAACACCATATATATATACACATACTGGAGAGTCGAAGCTCCCGCTTCCTCCATCTATCATGCGAACCATGACAAACCGAGCCTCAAAAGCAGCCGCCAGCATAGGCAGCACTTTCTTACCTTCTTCACTTAGTCACCGGGCGCTCAGGTGAGCCTTTACCTGTCTGATATACAGGACCCCCCTCCTATTCTCTCTATCTACATTTATTAACATTTAAGCGTTAACGACATTTCTCTCCCGCGCGCGTTTCAGAAGGAAAAACAAAAAAAAAAAAAAGAAACAAGAACCGTTGGCGCGGCTACTCGTATCTCGCCGCCTTCCATCTCTTCGATTTAGACGCGGTCCTCTTGTTTCAAAAAATACTGCGCGAAATCGATTAAGTAAGACAGTCGGCGAATCGAAGAAAGTTTTGCACGACACGTTAATTAATCTCTCTTGTGATCACGGAATGTATGTGTGCATGATCCTATTAAAATTAAAAATTTACAATTTTAACGCGAACGTAATTAAATATGTAAAAGATGCAAAGGATACGAGAGTTACACTTAGGATAATGGTGTGGATTGCCGGATCAAGGTGAAAGTCGTAGAAATCCATGCGTTTTCTCCTCACAGAGGATATCGGATGGAAAGCAAAGTGGCGTGAATGAGTCCTCCCTTGACGATCGTAAGATTTATGGTCGCGACGGTTGGACGGAAAGGGCAAGCATCGCACGACTCCGGGGCTAGTAACCCTTGACCCTGCGGACTCCGAAAGTCCACCCTCCGCTATATGACCACGATAGTACCGCATGATTGACGATAAAGATATGCTGCAAAATGTTTGGAACGTTATACCTTTATATTGAGATGTTTGCCCGAGACGACGACACGATCGACACGCACGTTCGACATTCGTCCGGATGTGACGATCGGACACGTATCCTATATGCGATTGAACATCGCGAAATATTGTCACGTGCTATGAAAACGGAAGCGACACATGCGAAAAGCGACCGCTAAAAGAGCAGATTAAAACGCAATTTTCTAGTTCTCGCAAGCTGTGTGTGTGCGTGTGTGTGTGCGTGTGTAATTTTTTTTTCTTTTTTATTTTCTGCTCGTAAAACCTTTGGTCTCTCGCTTTGTCGGAGGAAAAAGTTAATAGCTTGGAGAAATTAGCCCGTTGTGGGGAGGATCGTTGATCGGGGATCGTGTTTCGGGGAGGGTGTTCTGCACAGATGCAACGATAGCAACAGTTCGGCCCGCTCGAACCGGAGGTCACATATGAGCTCGAAGCTATGGCGTCGTATGGGCTTGACTCACACGCATCACGCGTAGTCATCCATCATTGTCAGTCTCTTCACTGACACAGCCGTCCGTCCTACCAACGCACGGGGCTCTCGATTTGAGTTCTTTCGTCAAAGTTGTGATTTTGTACAAAACGTTGGTACACACACCGCACACACTCACACACACACACGCGCATACATATTTACAATCTTTCCCTCACTGTTATCATAAATCACAAGAATGCTGCTTAATTAATATAATTATTGATAATTTCAGTAATCATTCCGGCAACGCAATAAGTCACAAGACGATTCAACATACGCTCGTATATTTTACCCTTTTCTCTCTTTCGTTTTATACGATCCCACAATAAATCAATTTATGTGCGTGCGCGGATTCTGACGTACCTAATGGCGCGTAATCTCTGAATAAAATATAAAGTTGACACGGGTGTAAGAGAAAGAATGTATGCTGCTAAGAATAATATTTCAGTTCGATTGCTCCGATATATTTCGGGTCATCCATCATCGTCACTTTCATCGCCAGCGTGGCACAAACCGCACCATCTACGATCAAAATTTACGCGTCTCGCCCCCGTTCATGGTCATTCCTTCGTTAAAGTTGTGATTTTCCGTATCATTCGTTGACCTGTGCGATGTTTACAAATCCCACGTGTGTGATCTTCACTTTCGTCAATTCTTGCAAACGCATAAATTATCAAACAAAATCAAGGCGACAAGAAGAGCAAAGGGAATGAGAAGACTAGTTACTTTTCACTATATCTGTATTTTGTCAAATGTATCGATGTGTGAATGTACACGTATGATAAATTTGTTTACCATGTTAAGGGCTCACTTGCAACACAATTATGTATAATCAGAATGAAACAATTGTTTGTGGTTATTCGTATACTATTTACACGAGTAGTCTTTATATGAACAATGACTTTATATATAATGTGACGTGTCTAATGTTTCTTTCTTTTTATTTTTATACAAAAAGAGCTGCGTATATTAAATATGTCGTGTGTTTATATGAATTACACCCTCGAGGTGAAAATTAAAATTATATATATATATGTATATATATATATATATATATATTCCTATCTACAGTTTATTTTTTATCATTACCTACTGCGAGACAATAATTTATTTGGTTCGCTTAAAAAGTAGCGCTAAAATGGGATTAAAAAAACAAAATGCAGTTTGTGAAAAAATGAAAATGCAACTCATTCAATCTTTCTTCTTAGTAAGTATTTGATATTACAATTAATATAATGTCCATCTTACAGATGTGCTAAGATGTACAGGTAGATTTTCTTATTTTATGTATTGCTCAACGAGAGAGAGATGTATATATGTATTCAACGTCCATTAAGTGACATTATTCACGACATAGATAAACGCATTTTTGGTTCGAATTAACTTTTTAAAGCTTGTCTCTCATTTTTTCACAAAACGAACAGCGCAGATAACGTTTTTACAAGTGCATTTGTGTCTTTCTTTTTTTTTTTTTTTTGTTTGCAATAGTGACCGAGAGTAGTAACTGATTTTAACTATTCTTCTCCATCTTCGGTAAGAGAACGATTTTTATATGAGAGAAAGAGAGAGATAGAGACTATTTTTTGTTAGGTGTTTGTATTCAATTAAAACTAACAGATTGTGTATACACCTATCCCACTCTTCAGAAATTGTATACTCCGTATAGTATGATCCGTGTATAAATATGATTTTTCCTATTCTTTTGTGTGTTTTGTTAATCTAACTTTCATATGATATATATATACACGCAATCCCATTGTTAATTATTGCTCAAGCATCTACAAACTCCATCCCGTTTTTTGTCATTCTAAATTAAATTTCGTTGTTGTCTTATCACATGCAAAGTAAACAATTGTGAATTTATAATTCGTGTCTCTTTTTGTTAAAAATTCTCAAATAATCCTACGCGTTTATTTTAATTAGCACGCTCCGTAACAATAACTAAAGTTGCACCAGAAATGAAAGGAACATGGCTTCGGTTTTGCGTGCGCGTGTGTATGTGTGCCTGTCAAGTTTTCAACCATCTCAAAGATACAGTAGCAGTATATCAGAAAGTTGGCTCTTTGCACTGACTTCGGCATATTCACGCTTGCTGTCTTCGTCACTTTTCCTAATTTATTTATTTCTAGTATATGTTACTCGAGCTTAGAGACACGCTGATACTAGCGCTTGAGATTGCGTTGGATCTTCCGACACGTATTATCCCGTGGACTTGTTTACTATTTAGAAGTATTATTTATTATACAATTAAATGTAAAATTAAAAATGCGCGCTTGTATATAAGGTTATTATAATTATATAAAACAAGACAGAAAGAGATTATATATCTATAATATATGATATATATATATATATATATTATTATAAAGTATATAAATTATAAC